TCTCTAAATTGAAAAGAATGTTTTCGTGAACTGAGATATATAGTTTCGATGATTGAAGTTTCCTCTCGTTACAACGGCTCTCTCGTCGAAACTCTTGGCTGCATGATTTTTTGTTTTTCCATTATCTTATTCAACTGTGAACAGCTAGGATTAAACGAGGATTAGACGAAACGTTAGAATTTCTTATATTTGTATTTGCTAGTGCTGTACTGTGCAAAGCAGAGTAAAACGTAAAGCTGCGAGCGAGGAGAGTTGTGAAAAATTCGGAAAATTCAATTGCGAGAAGCCACTGGAGAACTGCGCGAAAATGTGGGGAACTATGCGAAATTGCAGAGAATTTCTGAAAATTGTCAGAAACTGCGGAAAGATTTAAAAAGCAGAAATACAATTCACTAAACTAGAAACGATCTTCTCTCACCATTTTATTCAATTTTGAAGACTGGTGTCGAACCAAGTTAAATATAAAAGTTCTCAAAGAATCTTGACGTTTCATTATTCAAACCTAATGTTCGAAGTTTAATAAAGTTGCAGGGGAAAAAAGAAAAAATTGTACAGCGAGGTTTTGAGAGACTTGAATCTCCAAGATCGCGTGGTAGATCAAAAAATAGGTAGGAAAAAATTTCTCAATATTTTCTTTCGAAACCTTCGACGGTTCGACGACTTGTTTACTGTTCGCTGATGGATTCGCGAGGAGCTCATCGGGAATATATATGAAAATTGGCAATTTTCGAATCGAGGAATTTAATTCTACGGATTAATTAAATTTAATTCTAACGAAGATCGAAAATTGGAAATGCGGGTATTAAGAGCAGGGAGGCTTTAAAAAGCAATTATCGGCCAGCGCGTGATATGATTTTTACAGCCTCGAGATCAGGTTCCAAACGAAACGAACAAATAGGCTAAGGTGAAAAAGGTGTTTGGGTGAATTCCAATTTTATGGGCCGATGATTACGAAAAAAAATTAGCGGATCGACGCTCGTGTGTACGCGGTTTTTACATATCTGGAATTAAAGTTCAATGAGAATGACAGATAAACGAATCGAAGAATTAATTTTCCTTAATTATCTCTATAGAACTGTTCTTCAAACGTGACTTATTAATTTCTAAGAAGTTTTTCTCCGATGAAAGAATATCAGATTCTTTTCTACTTCGTTCGCAAAAATTTGAGTTATTTATTATTATTAAGAAATTTTTTTACCCTGAGAATATCAACCAATAATAACGAAGAAGTTATTTCGCTTGAAGTTTGCGATATTGAAGGACATCGAACGATTGTCAATTAGGTGAATTTATGCAGGTTAAATTGAACTGACAGTGAACCATGCAACGTGAGATGTAGCGAAGACGAAACGATTCGTTATGGTAAATTTTCAGTGTGCGTATTGTAACAGAAATAGACAAACATGAACGTAAGTATATATAGTGATTAATATTCGGTGAATTACACTGCAACAAAAATAAATATTATCTTATTTTATTTCATTGTATTCTCATTTTCTACGAAGAAACTGACAATTATTTACAAATAACATTTCTTACAAGTTAATTATTTCATAATATATTTGTCTCATACGAGTTAGTTGCAACGACTCGTTAGAAGTTATTTATGAATCTCTAAGAAATTAAGAGATCTTTACATCTTGGAATGTGTTTTCGTATTTCGCGAATTTTTCATTTAGAAGAAGAAGAAGTTTCCCTTGGGAAATTAATTTTGACAGAATTAAAGAAATCGATTACATAGCATATCACTTATCACTTCTATAAAGGATAATTAAAAAGCAAAGCTGTAAAATTTGATAAATTTACGCACGTGCGTGTATAATACTTAATAATAAAGTAAAAATAAAAAAAAAGAATTTATTATGCGCATACATTGATTATCGAGTGTGAACTGAATTGATAAATTCATGAATGTATTATCAACGAGTAACAATTCATTGTACAATAATTATTGGAAACGTGGGAAATTATCCGTCTGAAAATTTCCTCCCTCGAATCTTAAATATCAGAGGGGATCAGTAGAATATTTGAATTTTCTGTTTTTTTTTTTTTTTTTTTTTTCGAAATTTGATAGAAATTCGGTAAGATGTGAAATCTCTCGTCTGTACACGTAATAACTGTGCACATTCGGGAATTGAACTCGTTCTAGTTGGCCAACATAAACTCATAAATCATAGTAATCCCATTATGACAGTGCGTATGCATAACCTCGTCAACGTGAATAATAACGGCGAACGAAAATTTCCAGCTTTATTATCTATCAATTTTTCATGCAGCTCGAAGTTATTCTGACAGATTTGAGGGCGAAATTCCCCTGCTTGAAATACGTTCTACGACCGCAGTACGCGCCATATTTGAACACAGCTGGCACAGTGTTGCTAGGCTGGCTGATAGTGTCCTGGATTTCTTACGTGAGTTATGTTTTTCACAGTCACGATTTTCATTTCTCCTTCTCAAGTTCTTTTCTCTTTTCTTTACTTTACTTTCCTTTCCGTTTTGCACGGTATTTCTCAAATTACCGGCTTCAGAATTTCCCCCTCTGCACTTTTCTCTTTTCTCTCCTTTTTCTTTTCCATTCCGTGTGTGTGTGTGTGTGTGTG